CACTCCTACGGAACCGAGAATTAGTCAACTCCAGATAATGAGCAAACGACCTTGGCAAAATACATAACGGTTTGCAATTACCTGTTTAACTTTATTTCTTGATTTTAATTCGCCATTTGACAGCTGCACGTGTGGTAATTCCCATAAATGTATTGATCTAGCTAATATTCTAGCCATTAATGTCTATTGATATAATATATATATATATTAAGGGGAGAAAGATAGACGAATGTGTGTATATATGCATATACGTTCATGTATTGTGTGTTGTGTGTGTGTGTGTGTGTGTGTTGTGTGTGTGTGTGTGTGTGGTAATATACGTTTTGATTAAAAGCAAAGGATATTTAAATTGAAAAATATAAAAATCCATCATAAGATTATCAGAATAGAAAAGCTAAATAAAAAGATCATAAAGAATATGAAAGATTATAAACCAACACATAACACAACAAAACCTTGTAATTTGCAATAAATGATAGAAATCAATAATACCATTTCTTAATGTAACATCATTATTCAACAAAATCACCAACCGATGATAAAAGTTTAGGTATTGTATTATTGTAGTTTTATTTTATTATCAGTATTTCCCTTTTTTTGCAATTGCCCGCCTTGATGTATTAGGAGAAAATGGTGAGGACGAAGAGAGAGAGAGAGAGAGAGAGAGAGAGAGAGAGAGAGAGAGAGAGAGAGAGAGAGAGAGAGAAGAGAAAGAGAAGAAAGGAATAATCAAATAAATCGTTCAAAATTTTTTTTTTTTTTTTGCTTAGGATAGATTACACGTATTCTTATTCCTCTACTTTTTACGCTGTACCGGTTTATTTAAAACAAATCTTGGGGTGAATGGGTACATTTACACACTTAAATAACTAACATAATAAAACATATAACATTCTAATTTCAAAATTTAACTCATTCGCGGGATTTATTGAAGATGGTCTTGGAGCTTATATTCAATTTTACTGATGACTGAGAGGGAAATATATGATATGTGCAAGAGAGAGAAAGTGAGGAGGGGGAGTGTGCTATAGACAGACAGACAGGGACAGAAAGAGGGAGGTATTTTATGGTTTTAGAATCTGCCATTAAAGGAAATATGATTCACGATATTTGTGAATAATTATCATGGCAGTGATAAAAAAGTCTTACATGTTCCTGGATATTGAAAGGATATTGAAATTGAAAAATATAAAATTCAAAAAGTCAAAATCCATCATAAGATGTATCAGAATAGAAAAAAATGCTAAATGAAAAGATGATATAAAAATATGAAAGAATTAAAACACATAACACAACAAAACCTTGTAATTTGCAATAAATGATAGAAATCAATAATACCATTTCTTAATGTAACATCATTATTTAACAAATCAACCGATAATATAATGCTATACGATATATATATATATATATATATCTATATACTATATATATATATATATATATATATATATATATATATATATATATATATATATATATACACACTTTTTTTTTTTCTTTTTTGTATTTTTTTCTGTCGTACATTAACTAAAATGCTTATCACTGATTATTAATAATGTTACGAGAACAGAAAACGGATGTCATTTTAGGTTATTAAGCTCCCCAATTAACATACAAAACTATAAGCTTTTTTGCCGCTATGTGTCTACATTCTTACCTGCCTACGTCATACATAAATTCATACAGGCATACATGAGCATCGCCTTTATGCCGCCTTTGTTTTAGAATAATTCCGTGTTTATGCTGAGTCACGTGATCATTGCAAAATGTTGGCGCTTGCAACTGAAAACATTAAATTATTGTCTACTCGACAAAGATCCTATTTTTAGAGCTTGTCCTGTAACTTCCGGTATTTTTTTCCTTCTTTTTTTCATGATTAATTGTACACGTGATAAAAGTTTAGGTATGGTATTATTGCAGTTTTGTTTTATTATCATTACTTCCCTCTTTGTGCAATAGCACGCGCGTGTGTTTGTGTGTGTGTTTATACATACACACATATCTGTACAAATACGTATATATATATATATATATATATATATATATATATATATATATATATATTATATATATATATATATATTATGTGTGTGTGTGTGTGTGTGTGTGTGTGTGTATGCGTACCCCATTATTTTCTATCTACCTGTCTGACGATCGTTATTTATGATCTTGTTTCTATTAGCTCTGGTAAAGATTATTGTTTATCTTGAGGTAGAATGTTTCATTCCTTTGCCTTGATGTATTAGGAGAAAACGGTAAGGGCGAAGAGAGAGAGAGGGGGGGGAGGGAGAGGGAGAGGAGAGAGGGAGAGGGAGAAGAGAAGAGAAAGAGAAAGAGAGAAAGAGAAGAGAAAAGAGAGAGTGAGAGAGAGAGAGAGAGAGAGAGAGAGAGAGAGAGAGAGAGAGAGAGAGAGAGAGAGAGAGAGAGAGAGAGAGAGAGAGAGAGAGAGAGAGAGAGCGGGAGTGTGTTATAGACAGATAAACAGGGACAGAGAGGAGGTATCCATATAGTTTTAGAATCTGCCACTAAAGAAAATGTAATTGACGATGTCCTTTTATGAATAATTATTATAGCAGGTAATAAAAAAAGGTTAGCATTTTCATACTGTGAAAATCAGCAGATTAAAATTTATTAATAGGAACGATGAAGAATGTAATAAGAATTTTATTGTTATTCATATATATGTTTACTGAGGACATCCTATTTTGCGTGCCTCAAAAAGTGGTCGCTTCGCCATCGTGAAGGAATGAAAATTACTATAAAAGAAAAAAATACAACCGCAGAACCTTGGGAGATTCATTACCTCTGTCGTATATAAACAGAGAGTCCTAGTCCTGTATGTCCGATATCTCTCCGATATTTAGCACGGTGAGAATAGCCAGAACATTTTCTTTTTAGGCGGAAAGATACTAAACAATATAAAACAACTTTTCTTCATTTTTAGATGGAGAGGGACGTGCTCTTTGAATAACTGAATATTCGTTTATAAGTTCCGGGCAATTCAGTGAACACATGTGCTTTGTTAAAATTATGAACACTTGAAAGCAGTGATTCTATTGTGTACAATGTGGCAAAATGGGGTAGATACCAGAATTAGATTTTGAAAAATGTTTGCATAGATTTTCAAAGAACAGTAAAACAAATAAATTAAGAACAATAACAACGGCGGATGGACAAGGGTTGCAGATTAAGTCTTCAGTCATTTAGAATATTAATTAAATTTCATAATTTAGGAACACCAATTTTTTTTTTGATCATCTTTTGTGTAAGTAATTTTAAAATGTCTTTTGAGAGGTGATAAAGCTGTGAATTTTGCTACCTTTCGTACGTTCCTTGGCTTATTTCATGTTCTGCATCCTATCCGTTAAAGTTTGGGTTTCTTTTAAAAGTAAAATAAGAACGTTGGTCCATTTACCATTAACAAGGAATGGGCATTAGATCGAGACAACCTCAAACCCTTGATAATGCTTGGTAGCGGCAATGCTTAGAAAATATTAGTCGTCTCGCACGGTCAAAATAAACTTTTTTTTTGCCTTGACTTTGACCCCACCATGCTCATATTAGCATACCAGTACTCTCGCTTGTATCGACTTAGAGGAGCGGGCGGGAGAGAACCAAGGACCCTGCGATTGCTAAACCTATATCACTGAGCTACGCCACTTGTAATTCGACTTGATTGCCTGAATGTTATTTCATTATTTAATTCAGAAACGTATACTCTGCTTATCAAATGATGATCGTAGAACTTGTATTTTAGTTAGGGACAAGCATGAGATGGACCACTTTACTGCCATTACTGTTTTCGAAGACTTGGGATAACTCGTTTATCAACGTATTGATGGTTTAGTTTGATAGTAAAAGTGAGGAAGTTAGGAATATGAAATGTTAAGGTTGGGGAAGAGAAGTGTTATTTTTCTATGATCTTTGTTAGGAACGTTGAGAAACAAATTATAATTCCATTTATTTATTTATCTTAACAGATTTATGCGTCACTGAGCTGAACACTGTATGAGAAAATATATTCAGTTACATGTTTCAGATGAAGGCGCTTTTGTTCTTGACCGTGGTAGCTGTGGCTATTAGCCAGCCCAATTGGGTAAGTACCATATTATAAACTAGAAATAAATAAGGATTAAGCTTACTTCTTTTGCAAATAACAGAGAATAATGTTTTTCTCTTTCGCGGAAATAGAATGATGACAGATAATAATGTTTACTTTTATTATTTTCAACAGAGAACAATAATGTTTTTCTCTTTCGCGGAAATAGAATGATGACAGATAATAATGTTTACTTATTTATTTATCTTTTCAACCAAATAGTTCTTTGATTCAGCATTATCTAATCATGGCCACTATTCACCCATTCAAAACGCTGAAGAAATTATGTTTTCCTATAGTATATAGCGTATATATGTTCCCCCGTTGTGTATAAGGCGGATCTGAGGTTTGGTGGCAGCGAGTACCACTTCTCCTGGCGCCACGACGGAGACCAGAAGTACCCGTGGGGCGCCGCCAACAGGTACTGCGCCAGCCTGGGGTACGGGTGGCAAGGCGTCAGCATCGAGAGCTACCTGGAAGACAGGATCATCGCCAACATCATTGCACAAGGTTAAGGCACTGAAACTTCTCTCTCTCTCTCCTCTCTCTTCTTTCTCTCTCTCTCTCTCTCTCTCTCTCTCTCTCTCTCTCTCTCTCTCTCTCTCTCTCTCTCTCTCTCTCTCTCTCTCTCTCTCTTTCTCTTAATCTTCCTCTTCATCTCCCTTTCTCTCCTTCTCCCTCTCTCCCTCTATAGTTCGACTCAAGAGTAAGAACCAGACATTCCAATACCTTTCCAACAGATTCTCGCACACAAACACACACAACAGCCTTCCACATATAACACGAGTCTTAGTAGCATTTGAAGTCGTCATATTATTAACACTCCTGATATCATGTCTTCCTCGCAGACGAAGTGAAGTACATCTGGACGGGAGGATACCGCAACGGGTACCAGTGGTATTGGCCTTCTGGTCTCCCCTTCTACGGCATCAACTGGTCACACACAGGAGCGTAAGTGAACACTCCATTAGGGAGGCGGTTGATAATCAGTCTAAGTGGAAGATAGAATGCATAACAGTCAAGGAGGAAGTGTCATTACCTAAGGCGGTTGGTGAAGGAATTTGGAGAAAGGTAGTGTGTGTGCGTGAGTGAGAACGAGGGGAGAGGGAGAGTTAAAGGGAGGTGTGTATGCGTGTTGATGTCTGCGCGCGCACGTGTGCATGTGGAGAGGTAAATAAATAGATATTCACGAACGAAATATAAACAACGTCAAGAGCTCTTTGCCTGACACCTCCTTCCCCATCTCCCCCAGCAACGGCTACCCTCAACCTGACAACCGCGAGGACGGCCGCGAGTTCTGCCTGGCGGTCCTCAACAACTTTTTACAACGACGGGATCCGCTGGCATGACGTCGCCTGCCACCACGAGAAGCCCATCGTGTGCGAGCGGCGCGTCGGGTTCTACGGCTGAGGCAGCTGGCGACGCCTGGCAACTCTGCGAAAATCAAAGGGACTTATCTGCAAATACTGTATTGAAAACTTTAAAAACCGTTGTTGAATGTCTACAATATATATAAATATGTAATATATATATATATATATATATATATATATATATATATATATATATATATATATATATATAGAGAGAGAGAGAGAGAGAGAGAGAGAGAGAGAGAGAGAGAGAGAGAGAGAGAGAGAGAGAGAGACCAAATAAAATATTTGAATATTTCGTATGTCAAGTAGCCTTCACGCAAAACATTTCCATAGAGTGCCAAAACCTCCAAATTTCTACACCAAATGCAAGTATCTGTTGTCCAGCACAGCCCCTGGCAGTGCATCAGTAGCCACAGCATTTAGCTACAGATAGAACGCGAGAGCCTTTCAATTATTGGATTGAAAATGCTCGATTATCCTGACTCTGTTTCACTGCGTCACTGCTCACTGTCTGAGATATCTCAACGGTTACATGTTCATGGTGATGATAATAGTAACGAAGACAACATTGATAATTTTAATGATATTAACGAAAACAATGATACTAGTACTTATAATAATAATAGTTGATAGGAATGATGATAGTGGTGATAATATTAACATTAAGTTTCTTTTGCTTTTGACACTAATACTGTAAACTTCCCTACCAGTCATACAGTCTCAAAGACTCCTTAACTTCAATTAATTTACTACGTTCTGTTATCCTTAGCCATTAGATTCGATTTTTTACACGGCATACATGACAAAAAAAAAAAAAACTATACTAGAAATCTTAACAAGAAACGGTTAATTAAGTTAATTAGTGTATTCTGTTGAAACCTCGAAAGCTCGTTAGGAGTAAGGTGCGTTACGTTAAGAGTAAGGTATGTCAATCTCTCCAGTTAAAGTCACAGCAAATGTTCAGACTGAGGGAATACGATAGCAGGTTTGTCAGTTTAGAGAGGGAGCTTTTCATTATGATTCGTCGGGTGTGATTTTATAGTGGACAAATGCAGAAGCCAAGATGTTTTGTCTTGTCATGGACATCGAGGCTTCACTTACCTTGGAGATCAGCTGTTTCGGTAAACTTTTCTTTATTGATTGATGACACTTTGACACTTTGACAGGTTGGTGATGACTTTGAACTTTGACAGGTTGGTGATGACTAATGACACTTTGACACTTTGACAGTTGGTGATGATTGATACTTTGACAGGTTGGTGATGATGACACTTTGACAGGTGGTGATGACTAATGACACTTTGACACTTTGACAACTGGTGATGTGATACTTTGACATTGATGACTTATGGACAGGTTTGGTGATGACTAATGACACTTGACATGATGGCTTTCGGTGATGATTGATACTTTGACGGGTTGGTGATGAATAACACTTGACTGACACTTTGACAGGTTGTGATGGATGATGGGACTAATGACACTTTGCAGGTTGGTGATGACAATGACTTTGGCAGGTTGGTGATGATTGATACTCTGACAGGTTGGTGATTAATGAACACTTATGACATTTTGACAGGTTGGTGATGACTTATGACACTTTGACAGGTTGGTGATGACTTATGACACTTTGACAGGTTGGTGATGACTTATGACGCTTTTACAGGTTGGTTGATGACTAATGACACTTGGCAGGTTGGTGATGACTTATGACACTTTGACAGGGTTGGTGATGACTAATGACACTTTGACAGGTTGGTGATGACTTATGACACTTTGACAGGTTGGTGATGACTTATGACACTTTGACAGGTTGGTGATGACTAATGACACCCAAACACTTGACTTTGATGCACTGACTAATGACACCTTAACAGGTTGGTGATGACTTATTTGACAGGTTGGTGATGACTTATGACGCTTTGACAGGTTGGTGATGACTCATGACACTTTGACAGGTTGGTGATGACTTATGACGCTTTGACAGGTTGGTGATGACTTATGACACTTTGACAGGTTGGTGATGACTTATGACACTTTGACAGGTTGGTGATGACTAATGACACTTTGACAGGTTGGTGATGACTAATGACACCGTGACAGGTTGGTGATGACTAATGTTGACTAATGACATGACTATGACACACTGGTGATGACTAATGACACTTTGACTTTGACTGAGATGACACTTTGATGGGTTGATAAGTGGCGATGATCAGTTACAGTAAATTGACAGATAGTAAATTATTAATGACAGATTGAATAGTTGATGATGACAAATGACAGGTCACTGATGATGGCTGTTTGACAACTCCCTAATTGGTGATGATTAGAAATCCAACGACGTTAATTGACTATCTATCTAACGTCCCATGCGGTGGTAAAAAAAAAAAAGAAAAAAAAAAATAAAAATAAACAAACATAAATAAATTGAAAGTACATAAAATAGTCCCCCAAATTTAGCAAAAGAAAGAAAAAAAAATAAGAATAATAAAAAAAATAAATATATAAACTAATAAATACATAAATAGAATAGCTCAATAAAATATTAATAAAAGAATGGATAAAATCCTGGATAATGATAAAACCTTCTGGGTGTGCAGTACTACGATGTTTAAACACGATTATCCTCTTACAAGTTCTGACTATTCATTGCTCAAGTATTTTGCAATATTCTAAAAGGAAAATATTTCGAGATTTGCATCCCAAAAGTAAGAAAAAAAATAAGTAAATAAAACAAATTAATAAAAATTGAATAATAGAAAAAAATGTTGTGTTAAAACTGGAAAGGAAATAAAAGAAAGTACATCAAACTTGTGGAAACATCGTTAACAGTGTAACAACTGTACAGTAAAGTGAAATACTTCAAAGGTATAGATGATAACATTAAAAAGAAAAAAAAAGACAATGAAGAAATGAGAAAAAATTGATGTGTGAATACAGTTGTTTAGGAAAGTTAAGTTAAATGTAGTATGAGAGAATAAAAAAAGCAAAAAAAAAAAAAAACTTATTTTTTTTTTATTTTTTTTTTTTTATTTTTTTTCTATTCAATCTGTGTAGAAGCTCGGTGTAGATTTAGATCCTTGCTACATAATTTTGTATGGATATTAATGTCCTCCTAAAGATTTGATATGAGTAAAAAAAGTTTACTAAAAGCTCTATTATGACAACAGATTTTTACGTTGTTTTTTAAAAATGGAGATTTTTTTTTTTTTTTTTTTTTGTCTGAGGCGACTTCAAGGCGATTTTCGGGGCGGGGGGGGGGGGGGGTACACGTCTTAACCTTAATATTTCGTTATTTATCACTCTTCATGTTTAACTAATTTGGTAGTGAAAATAGCAATGGGTATGCGGTTGGTTGGCCACGTGACTGACTAATCACTGCTGTGTTTTAGCCCATTGCAAATGTTTATTTTTATTTCAGTTTCATCAAGATTGTTAGGTTATCATCATCTTCATTATGGTCATGTTGAAGGTGAAGGTAATGGTAATGATAATGGTAATGATGATGATTATTAGAAGTAATAGTAATCACCAGAATCCCATCATCATCATTATCATTATCATCATCATTACCATCATTCATCATTATTATCACCATCATCATCACCATCAATCATCAACCATCATCTTTATCATTATCATTATCATCATTTTCATTTTACATTATAACCAAGCACTTGCAATGAAATTTGATTCCAGTCAAGGATATATTACACAAGAAACACATTCACGTTTTCATTATTTAGGATGGGACTTTATTTTCCATGTAATCATGATATATATAAAACCGTATGTACATCACACCCTGTACACATAATTTATTAAAATTTTCAATCCAGTGCTTTCTGGTAACTTTATTTTGATTATCGCGGAGTTGCCAGGCGTCGCCAGCTGCCTCAGCCGTAGAACCCGACGCGCCGCTCGCACACGATGGGCTTCTCGTGGTGGCAGGCGACGTCATGCCAGCGGATCCCGTCGTTGTAGAAGTTGTTGAGGACCGCCAGGCAGAACTCGCGGCCGTCCCTCGCGGTTGTCGGCTGAGGGTAGCCATTGCTGCGGGGAGGATGGGGGACGGGGGAGGGGAGGGGGTGTTGATGATTGTTATGTTTTTGTTCGTGATTATCTATTTATCTATCAATTTATATGGACATACAGGCGCGTAGACTCTTTCTCTCTCTCTTTTTCCTTCTCTCTTGCTCTCTCTCCACCCCCCTTTCTCTCTCCCACTCTCTTCTCTCTCTCCTCCCTCCCCCTCCCCCCTCTCTCCCCCCCTCCCCCCTCTCTCTCTCTATCCCTCCCTCTCCCTCTCTCTATCCCGCTCCTCCCCCCCTTCCCCCCCCCCCCACACACCTTTCTCAAAGTCACATGATCAACCACTTAAGATCATTCCACTTCATTCGTGACTGTCATGCATTCACTTTCCTCTCATACGTCTTACCAAACCGCCGGCACTGACGAAGACCTCACTTACCCTCCTGTGTGTGACCAGTTGAGGCCGTAGAAGGGAAGACCAGAGGGCCAATACCACTGGTACCCGTCGCGGTATCCTCCCGTCCAGATGTACTTTACTCGGTCTGCGGGGGAGAGAAAGACAAGGATGAGTGTTGTGTGGGTGAGGGAGAAAGATGGGGGAGAAAGATGGAGGAAGGGGGATAGGAGCAGGGAACTGGCTAGGGAGAGAAAGGTAAAGGAGTGGGAATGGGAGGAAGGGAGTTGGCTAAGGGAGAGGGGTCGGAGGAAGGGGGAATAGGAGGGAATGGGAGGAAGGGAGCTGGCTAAGGGAGAAGAGGGACAGAGAGAGAGGGTCATTCATGTCGGGAAATGTGGAGTTATGGGGCCATCATCGTTATCATAGTTATCATCTTAATCTTCTTTTCCGTTTGGCTCTTCCCTTCCCTTTTCCTTCCCTCTCCTCTCCTCCCTTTCTCCTCCTCCCGTGGTGTGTGAAGTAGGATAGGAAGACGTAGGCTAACGCTTGTTGAATACTTTTTTTCTGGCATACATAGAGAAGTTATTGGAAAAGGAAAGGAAAGAAAAAAAAGACCTCAATAATTCATCCGAGGGCAAAGAAATAACAGTAATAAAAAATATAAATAATAATAATATAATAATAATAATAATAATAACAAAAAATAATAATACATAAATAAATAAAAGGTTCTCAGTTTTTTTTTTTTTTTTTTTGATACGCTGAAAAGAAAAGTTAAGAAATAAAAAAAAAGTCCTCACTGTTTTTTGATTTTCATACGCTGAAGAAGTATTAGAAAAGGAAAAAAGGAAAAAGTAAAATAAAAAGGCAACATACGCTGAAGAAGTTATTAGAAAAGGAAATAAAAGGAAAAACTAAAAAAAAAGTCCACTGTTTTCTTGCATTTGATACGCTGAAAAGAAGTCCACTGTTTTCTTCATTCTGATACGCTGCCAAAAAAGAAAAAAAAAAGAAAAAGAAAAAAATTCTTTCAGCGGCCTTACCTTGCCCGATGATGCTCGAGATGAGTTTATCCTCCTGGTAGCTCTCGATGCTGACTCCCTGCCATCCATACCCGAGGCTGGAACAATAGCTGTTAGCTGGACCCCACTGGTACTTCCGGCCTCCGTCGTGGCGCCAAGAAAAGTGGTACTCGCTGCCCCCATACCGCAAGTCCACCTGGTAAGCAATCATTGATTCACGAGAGAGGGACATGGAAAGCTACTGTGATGTCATCTAAACTTGTAACTAGGTGGTCAGCGTTACAGGTCAACAGCTGTTTTCGTAACCAGGTGGTCTGCGTTACAGGTCAACAGCTGTTTTCGTAACCAGGTGGTCTGCGTTACAGGTCAACAGCTGTTTTCGTAACCAGGTGGTCTGCGTTACAGGTCAACGGCTGTTTTCGTAACCGGGTGGTCAGCGTTACAGGTCAACAGCTGTTTTCGTAACCGGGTGGTCAGCGTTACAGGTCAACAGCTGTTTTCGTAACAGCGTTACAGGTCAACAGCTTTCGTAACCAGGTGGTCTGCGTTACAGGTCAACAGCTGTTTTCGGTGGTCGCGTTACAGGTCAACAGCTGTTTCGTATATTTCAATGCTCTTTTTTTTTTTTTTTTTTTTTTTTTTTTTTTTTTTTTTACAAAATGCGTAATATTAGAGTAAATACAGCTACTTGAATTACGAAAATGTATGCTTTAGAAATTTCATGGTAGTTTCCAGAAAGACCAGAGAAACGCAGAGGTCCGGAAGTGTTTCTTAATTGCAAAATGACACTTTTTTTGTTACTCACCAATCCATAATGCTGGCTCGTTGCCGCAGCCACCACGCAGAGAAACAGCAGCGCCTTCATCTGTGACATAAAGCTTTGTGTGAGAGAGAGAAGAGAAGGACGGAGAGGGAGGGAGAGAGAAGAGAAGAGAGAGAGAGAGAGAGATCAAATGGAATTTAAGGCTTATAGTCAGGGGTGTTTTTTTGTTTTTTTCTTTTTTTTCTTTCTTTCAGTTTCTGTGTTTTGTGTTTCCTTGCTGGTGACGTATTCTCTCTCTCTCTCTCTCTCTCTCTCTCTCTCTCTCTCTCTCTCTCTCTCTCCTCTCTCTCTCTCTCTCTCTCTCTCCTCTCTCTCTCTTTCTCTTTCTCTCTCTGCCTAACCAAAGTTATTCACTAGAGGAAAATTATGAAGTAAAATGTGTTTCTACAAAGAATTCTGTTGTTGAGCCATTATTATAATGCTAAATGAGAACCGAAAAAAAAGATAGATTATTATTGATGTCTAATATCGTAAAGGCTTTTGAAAAAAACAAGTATTCAGTTTTATAGAACATATGGATAGGATAAAACTTACATACAGTTACTATTCATAATCAGTTCCTTATATATTGCATTTATTTTTTTATGCAACGTTCGTGTCGTTTTTGTTTTGTCTTCCAAAACAATAAATAGTACCGCTTATTTTAAAAAAAGCCTACCGAGACATAAACATTGATTTGCACAGTTCGGTGTTTCATTCATTGGCCTTTTTAATTGTTTTCTTTTCTTTTTTCTCTATGCCTTTG